TAGAACTTCACTAACTACACTTGTAATAAAATTTTTAACTCTGAGGCTCATCCATGTCAAAAACTAGAGGGTTCAGAATTCTAAAAAATGAAATTCCGTAACGTTTGGCCAAGCCATTACAATTACGGTGAGGGCTACCTCTAAAAATTATAGAAAAATACATCCAAGGTTTTATTTACTAATAGCTGATAATTTGATGAAACCCATACATAGTTTACATTGAATATTGCACCAGTATTCATCCCTGAATGTTGATAATACATTTTTGATGGGTAAATTTACAAATAATTGAATGTTTAATTTAAATCTACTAGATGATGATAAAATTAATTCGCGTAGTTTTTCTCTATCTGACAACGCATCATCACAAGAATGACCTGTTCAATTCAAAAATTTTTAAATTAGGCATGGTTTTTAACATGTGAAATAATTCATTGTAGTACGTGCTACTGATATTAACAGTGAGATATTTTATTGTTGGAAAGATGAACTTTGTCAATCTATTTCCACTGAGGAGAAAGATGTTTATATATTTTAATTCTGGTGAATGTTCAAGTATAACCGATAAATCATGCCACGTACAAGTAATTGTTAAATAAACAAGATTATTTATTGCTGCTGTTGAAGATCTGGTATTACGTATCAAACAAGATTCTGTTACTATTAATATTTTTAATTGTGGCAACATATTATGACATAGAACCATTTGAATTATATCGTTCGCATGATGTCCAGCTGTATGTATTATTAACTGTGTTATGGTTGTTAAACTTTTTAATTTTGAAATAAATTCAGTTGTGTAATCCTTAAGATACAGAGTTACAGATTGCACTGAAATGAATTTTTCATTGACAAACATCGGTTTACCATTATCGTCTAATATCATGGGTACAATTTGATCTCGAACGAATGGATTGATAAATTGTGTTCTACGAGAATCGAACATTAACTGAAGTCGTTTATCGTTTAATATCTTATTTAAACGCGTATTGATATTTCGAAATGAATTGTGAAGTCGACAAACACCCAAATACTCAAAAATAAGCATGAAGATTTCATTACTACAATTCTCAAATAATGTCGCCATCTTACAATCTAAAACAAATGAAAATAGTGTCCATTTCTTGAAAACAAATAAATATTTTTTTTCTCTCTCATTTTTTGTTTTGTTTTTTTCATTGCACTCATTCTCTTTTTCTTTTTGGTTACATTCTTCTGTATTTAGTTAAAAGAGTTATTTATTTCATTTGGCGGACACCCCAGTAATAATGGAACTCTTGCTCTCTTTCTCTAAGACATTAGCTCTCTTTTGATGTGTGTTCGATCTGATAAATATGAAAAATAAATATAGTTTAAAAATAAATAAATAAATAAATATCGTCGTTTGAATGTTTGAAAGATGTAGAAAATAAACATCCGAAGCTTATTTAATCTTCTGTGTCAATTTTTTAGTTTATTTTTATTTATCTAGCTAGCCAGCAATGTCTATAATGATTATCGGGACAAGCAAGAGCAAAATGGATTTCCACTTTGAATAGTGAATTTCTATTCTGTTTTCCACGCTGAGAAAAGTATATCCCACTTTGTTTTCCACTTTGCTGTTAAGATTTTCCACTCTGTCTTTTTTTCATATTTTCTGTCTCAGACAAGTAACCCATCGATAACTGTTTGTTGAACACTTGTGAGCGGTAGAACTAGTGTACAGTGTGTCCCAAAAGTCCTTTGTGGAAAATATTTTTGAATTACTCCTCTGTTTCATTGAACTTAATCAATATTTTATTTTCATATGATGCATATCACCATCAAGTTTTTATTGATATGAAAAA